ACTGGTAAAATTGCTAACKTCTTTTGAGGCACTGCTGCTCACTACTGCCTAGAGGGAGTAATAAAACTCTACAAATCGCTCCAAATTCAAAGACAGATTATACTGTAGTTATGTCTTGAACCAGCTTGAACCAAGCTTGAACCAAGGATGATGCAGTATCATCCTTGAGATTAACAAGCTTTTAAAAAGATACTCAACATAAAAACAAGGAATGCCACAAAAGCACAGATTAACTTACATCACAGTGAATGCAAAGCAGAGCTGAGAACAGGAGAGAGATTTTCTGCCAGGAAAGAAGTCCAACACATGCTTAAATCCACCACTTCTTACAAAACTTCTAATTTAACTTTTTTCTTAAAATTAATTTCTTAAAAAAAATAATCATTGATCCTTGCTGTTTGTCAAGAGAAAAGGACAAGCACAATATTTCTAGACTTTTACAGTAGAGAGTATGCAAAAGAAAGCAGTTAAGGAGAAGAAAAAGSAGAATCAATAACTTTAATTTTCCATATTTTGCTTGCTCTAAGCAAGACTCATTGTTGTCATTACAATAATTTATTTAACGGCATAGGACTATTCCGAAAGCACGTCCTATATGTTTAATAGCCTCCAAAATAAAAACAATTCCCACCCCTCTCTGTTCTGCTCCAAAATAAGGCTTCTATGAGAATATTTAGCACAATATACATTTCTAAAAAGACTTCTTTGTGTGTGTGTGTGTTTACCTGTTCTAACTTTTCACCAGATTTTTATTATTATTATTATTATTATTATTATTAGTGACAAACACTCTACAGGTCTACTCTAAAACCTGCAGATAAACAGGTGATCAACACTCTACAGGTCTACTAAACAGCTCAGATGTAAAATACTCACTAATACTCAGTCCCATCACACAGCATTAAGTTGACACTACTCCTATTTAGCCAGAACTGATACATCAAGGGGATCTAAACATAAGGCATTAGCAGAGTTAGTATTATAGTTGTGATGCTTAGTGTCCTAGAAAGCCAATAAAAMGCGATTTATGAAAGAAGTGGATAACAAAACCACATTTCTTAGCAATCTTGCAAGAATCTCACTACAGTTTAATTATAAAAAACGACAGATTATATATCAAATCCAAGAATATCACATCTTCCTCTAAGAAAAGCCAGGTATAAAGTATTCTTCTAGGATACAACAGAGGAAGGAATATTGCACAGGAACTGCTACATACAGCTTGAGTTTGTGCAAATAATATTAGTTACTTCTTTACCTATTCCATGGGACAAAGCAAAAAAGGAAAGTAAAGAAAAAAGAACTCAAATCTGTCACATCTCTGTGTGCTAGGTAAAGGCTTTCTCTTTCCTTTAGTCTTTAAATGAAATTATGCTCCTCTAGCTCCCTCCAGCTGGCAGCACGGCAGCTGCATCACAGGCTTGGGCACTTTTACCAGAGCTCTATCAYACTGGCAGCTAATGTGTTCAACTACTGCACAAGGGGAATCCGAAGGAAAAAAACATTTAAAGATTTTAAGGATTTKGACCTTTAAGTGGTTACAGAAGTCCAAAAAAAAGGTTCCATTACCTCTTGGTTGAATAAGTAAATAAATAAACGGAACAGGCAAGTTCAAATAAGTTTTGCAACACRGAAGGGTAACCCACAAATGTGTTAAAAATATTAGCTAACCAGTCAGAACTAACAAGAAATCCATGAACTTTCTGACAGAGCAAACTTCTCAGGCAATGATAACTCCAGTGAATACGTATCCGTAGGTACTGTGTACTACGTGTTCTAGGAGCAATATTCTACAGAAGGAAAAATCTCATTTTAAATCCCTCTCAAACATTCCTACGCCACTTCTCTCTTCTTTTCCTTCTTAAAAGCATGACACAAAATCCAGAAGCTTCCGCTTCTGAGTTTTAATACCATAATACCATGTTAAGGACTAATTACCGTTAGAAGGCAAAAATCAGACCAAGATTCAAATACTGAGATTTTATATTGCACAAATGAAGTATTTTTACTAAATCCTAGCACATTAACAGAATGCTACTTATTAATGCAAAAGTTCTATCTTGAAAAGCTAGGAAGCAGAATTTTTGTGGCTGAAAACTACACATGGAAACAATAAGAAGAAATATCAAGAAATTAGTGACGTGCCAGGTCTGACACTTCTCGAATCTTCACTGAGATTGTTGGTCTGTTTTAGAGCTGCAGTGGGGCTATTTTCTGAGCATACATGGGAAAATGAACATAATATTTGGCTCATGCACAGCTCCTGAGTCTACAAATGAAAGAGGACATAAAATGCCTGCTGAATCAGTGGACTCAGATTGTTGAGGCACAAAATGATTATTGAAGCAGTGGAAGTGATGAGCTGAATCAGTCAAGAAGTCAAATATTTGATATAAAACATTTCAAACTGTGTACAATATAGTTTCAAGAATAATTTCCATGAATACATCAATATAGTCAATGTAAATAACAAAATAAAATCTTGTAGTATTTAACAAAATACTGCTCCTAAGCATTTGCTTTTTTAAATATATATTTACAGAATAATACCACAGTCAGTAAAATATAAAATGTGCTTGCAGTATTCAAGAAAACAAACAAAAAACATTAATTCTAGCTTAAACATTATTTCTGAARCTTTATTTATTTATTATTTCCGAAAGTTTATTTATTTTAACCTCTATTACATTTCATGCTATTTTATACTGGACAGTTCAAGAACTTCAAATTAAGATTAAGGAAGAATTAAGGCAAAATAGTCATCATCTATAATATTTTATTTTGATAGCAGCAGATTCATCTCAACTTCTTTGCGGTAACCTGTGCTAGGTTTAATATAGCCTTTTTATTGTATTCTTATAGATCAATAACTGGATATATTCAAAGAAAGAAGCAGTAYAGATATTGTTAGATAATACTGCCATCTAGCGGGCACTCTAAATTAGCAGAAATATTTGAAATTTTCATTCTGCAGTTTAATTGACACGGATAGGAATGGGAATTACAAACCATTGTACACGATGCTGTATGTCTCCAGTGCTGCCTAACCATGTAGTGGAATAATGACATTTGTTCTCTTGGTTTTATTTAAAAAAAAAATCAGCATGTTGTGTAGGTAAATTAATTAAAAGTACAGAGTAAAATTCTGTTACATAAACACACAATGTTTAAGGTCAGGTCATAAATGCACCCTAAAGTTTCTGAAAATAATTGCAGACCAAAAAAAAAAAAGATAATTTAAAGCTAAACAGTATAATTTATGAATAGAGTATTAATGCTCCTCACTCTGATCACTATTACTCACTTTCACATCARTTGCCTAAACCATTGATCCGAACTCAGTTTGTTCCTTGAAACCTGGAAAGGGTTCCAGGCAAAACTGTTATGTTCAGGGACCACAGTGAGATCTGGCTTCAAACACTTGCAAGAAAAGGCTTGATACAGAAAATGTCTATGTGGGGGATCATGAGCATAACTGCACCAAATGAAACCATTTCCAACATTGCTGGGATCACGCCAGCAATCTTCCMGTATCTTCTGCTATGTCTCACAAGGCTCCTTTTCACTTCTTACTGGAGCAAACCCTGTTGATACAAGCTCTGCTCACGGAGCAAGAAAATCTCTTTTTGCCCTGKCAATCTGAGCCCCAGCATCAACACTTTGCATCTCAGGTGAGAAAACTGCTGCCCGCTGCAAGGCACCCTGTAAGGAAAGGCAGGTAACTAACTCCCTGGCTGGCAGCCCTGCCAGAGAGGCTTCACAGCACCACTGTAGTCRTACAGGGAATTAAAAGATCAATACAACATCCCCACTAAAGCAATTATCTGAGGCTACCTCTGATAGCAGCCAGATCACACAGTGACTTTTAACTAAAGGAGCTTGAGAGAAAACATCAATTGAAAGCAGGCGACCCGATAGCTTTCCACTCCATCCGGAAAGCAACCGAGTCCCAACCACTATTAACAACAAAGATATTCATATAACATTGATTAAATACAGTGCCACAATGCTTTAGGTCTTGTATTTTTCAGTTATAAGGTGTGTCTAGTTGTGATGCACTCTTCTGTCTAGTTGTGATGCACTGTTCTCCAGATACAGACGATGAATTCTAGAAACTTAAATGTTTATGAAAGCTGTGAGGAATGATTAAAGCACGAACAACACTCTTGGGGTATCTTGAGCATGTTTTGCTAGAACTTTATTTGAACACAAGATGGGAGCTTTATTTAAATCATGGTTGAATTTCAGCCCTAACAAGGAGRAGTAGAAAATACTTCTATAAACAGAAGTTGAGTGCAACTGGAGAGCAAAAAGAAATGGAAATCCCTGCAGACAGATGTGAAAGATAAAAGAATAAAGCTGACAACAGGAAACTATCTTTACTTATACAGAATACATAATTACACTTGAGAAACCCAGAACTGCAGAGGAAAACTTTGGATTTACTGAATTTCCCTCAAAACCACAGTTATGCTGCCATCTAGTGAAATGTTGTACTCAAGACTCTTCTTAGAATGCAAGTGAACACTTTGAGCAGGTACAAATCAGAAATAGTACCCCAAGATGGGTATATCACRGGAAAAAGCTTTCACCTCCAAAGAACTTATCCCTCTTTTTCTCCAGACCATCAGATTATTAAACTATGCACTAAGAGCTGCCTGGTTTGGTATGCTGGAGTGTGAATACTTAAACTTATAACTTGAAATGCAAGTTGGATAACAGACTTCAATCAGAAACCATGGAACTCATCAAYGTGGATCACATTCCAGGACCAGGAAAAATATGACCTATTAAAAAGTTTAGACCATCACACATATATAACACTAAATTCATAGCTAATAATACAGAGGAACATTATCCTGAGCAGAAGACTTAAATTACTGGCATGGTTATTTTCTTGTAACATTCATTTAGAATGGTGACTTACCAAAGACAACGTAAAATCTTTTCATGCATTCTGGGAAGTAAAAATGAAATAAAGAAAATAAGTATATACTTACCTGGGAAAATATATTTGCAGTAGGAGCAACTCTGCTGTCCACAATACTATATAATATTGCTAACAATCTGTCCAGGGGGAACGGCTTTGGCCCAAGGAGATGATTGCTGGTCTGCAATAGAAAGAAAGGTTAACATTCAACCCATTTTTCTGGAGTACCACAAGACGCTCTCCTCATATCTTTTCATTCTCTGGGGAGGCGTAATAATTTACAGTATTCTTTCCCAAAGCCTACTTATATATCACAGAAAACACTGAATATTTGCTCATTGATCAATATAATGATACAGATATACAGCTCTACCATGGCAAGAGTCCAAACTGCATGATGCATAATAAGTAAGAACATTTTGAGCTGTATCAGAGAACCTAGAGCCAAATTTCCTATCTGCCACCAGATTTATAGATAGGTTTGTCCCATGAATTACCCTGTCCAGTCCAAGGATTAAAGAGGAAAGACTATATTTCATAGGATTCTCAAGGTTGGCTCACAGTTTATCAACAGTAAGACAGGTCAAACACCTTAAAAGCACCCAGAATTGCTAGTGAAGATATAAAGGTTTAGATTTATTCCACTGCCTATAGCCTGTCTATAATCCAAAAGCACCTACAACAGGGTACATAAAACAGTGGCATTTAAAAATCTATAAAGGCATCAAGCATTTTTAGAATAACTCTTTGTGTGTTTGGCTTCCTGAACACAAATGGGTTATGAGCATGTACATTTTGAGGAGAATTCTATTAAGAAAGGTTCAACCAGAAGACAGAGACTACTACTAGGTGTCTCTCTCTCTCTCATAGACACAGTACTAGTTTCTGTAATGGTATTTGTACAAAGTTCTTTTAAATTCCATTTAGAAAACCAAAACCTCCGCATAATACAAATTGATTTATGTTAAATTAATTTTTGAATTGTATCATAATAGTATGTGTGTGGTGATTTATTGCTAATTTTAACACTATTTTGTTAAAAAAGAATTGAGAAATAGTAGTCAAATGACTTGCTCGGAAAAGTATCATATGCAAATTCAGAACAGGAGCTCCTGGCCTCAAATACCATATTAAACTCCTCCAGCACATAAACTGACAGTCTAGAACATGACTCGAATAACTTGGCAGGTTAGGTTTGTTTCCGTGCAGCAGAGCTCTCCTAATTTTCAGCTGCCAAATCTGTATCTGCTTTCCATGGATTTGAATAAATTCAGGATCATAGCTCCTACTTCAACACCTTCAAAAAAGCAAGACGCTCCCAGCACAGCGCTCACAAGAGAGCCCTGTAATTGCCTGGTCTAGGCTGCATCTAAAGCCTTCAGCTTCTCCTGGGGAGCAGGATTAGCTCTGCAGTCAGCAAATGCACCGGCTCCTCCGAGTACTGTGCTGAGACCATTGGGCAAAGTTGTACTAAAAACTACTGCCAAAAGCCTACAGTTATGCAGATTTTTTTAAAAACGCAGGAGCCTACCCAAGAATCTGTAATGCTCTCTAAACTAATGAATATAAAATCAGGGTCAGTGGTCGACACCGGTGTTGACGGCAACTACGTGGCAGGGAAGGTTGCAGGAGAACTCTGATGCCTGTCAGTATGGGAAGAGGTTAAGGCTAACCCTGCAGCAATCTGATTTACAAAAAAAAAAAAACAAAGCTAAGCAAGAAAATCTCTAACGTTTGTTGAAAATTTAATGAATCCAGACATGGACATTCTGCTGCCAGGAGGCAGAGTTTAGCATAATTATTTCCTGATTTTAAAGTCTGCTTTAAAAAGAAATAGTGACTAAGCAATTCATACAGTAGCAATGACAATTACTTACAGAAACGTTTTACTAGATTCCAAAGTTAGGATGAAGTTTAAAAAACTAAAACTGCTTTCCCAGGTACTGAACTTGGCATTTATGGAGCTTACCTCCTCTTCATCCTTCTTCACGCCACATACATTTTTATTTACAACTCAGTTGACACTAGTGGATGTTCTGGGCATTACAGACTATTATATGTAGTAACACTGAATTTCACAGGAATTATGTTCCTGATTTGCAAGGTTAAATATCTTCTAAGTAACAATYTCCTAAAAAGGAGAAATGCAGTTCAGAGCAGAGCTGGCCAGTATCAGGCTTCGCTCCCTGCAGGCTGTTGGGACCACAGTGGTTTAGTTACGACCCCGACTGACACTTGGGATGCAAGAATTACTTGTTTCCTTTAAAGTTTGTRTTTCATCCTCTCCACTTTGACGCACTCACCTTCTGTTTTTGCAGAAYACATTAATTTATTCTTCCTAGCAGCACAGGCAAGATTAAAGAAAAAAATCAAAGAGGAAGTTTGTTTCAAAATGAGGTGGAGAAAGGGACATCTCAGACACGCCACGCAGCACTCCTGCAGTGCCAGTAGTTATCAGTCAGACACAACTCCTCGTTTCTTTACAAAACAAAAAGCCAYTTGCAGTGCATGTTTTAGCTTTAAAAATCCAGGAGGTGTCCCCAAATCTATCCCTTGGTTAACAAACAAAGTAATGTGGAAAATATTAGAAATATGTGGTCAAAACATCCCAAAACATCTTCAAAGACTTATTTAGAGAGGATCACAGAATCCCAGAGTGGTTGAGGTTGGAAGGGACCCCTAGAGCTCATCCAGTCCAACCCCCTGCTCCAGCAGGGACACCCAGAGCACGGGGCACAGGGCGGCATCCAGGCGCCTTTGGAAGATCTCCAGAGAAGGAGACTCCACAKCCTCCCTGGGCAGCCTGGGCCAGGGCTCTGGCACCCTCACACCAAACAAGTTCTTCCTCACATGSAGATGGAGCTGCCTGGGTTTCMACTTGCACCCACTGYCCCTTGTCCTAACAATATAATCTACTTCAGCACAAAAATCTCAGCCAGAATGCAAGTACGGTATAAGCTGTGGATTGCATTTCTGGTTCTAAAAATGCYAGGACTGTGAAGCATATTTTTTGTTATACAATAAAAAAGGGAACAAATACATAATGTGTCCACACCAAGCAGCTGGCAAGCACAGTTAGCATGGAGTAATCCCTGCAGCTACATTCAAGATACAGTTATTTCACAAGTTTCTTGTTCTTGCTACTACCAGCTCTCTGCTTTGGYGGAATAGTGGTTTGGATTTTCAAATTACTTGTTAGAAATTGTTCTTGAGGAACAGCCAGAATAGTTAAATAACACTGGAGTGCTTCTTCCAGAAGATATATTTTATTAGAAATCTTAAGCAGAAACAAACACCCGTAAGAATGAGAATAGTTTAGAAATGTCTCTACAGTGACAACAGYCAAGAATTAGGTCCATAAGAACCTTCTGCAAGGAGTTAAGGCAGAGCAACCCTGAAAAAGAGGTTTATAAAATCCAAGGGGCTCTTCTCTTCACTTTAAATCAAAGGAAGTTCTCTTCCCTATTTASTTCAACGTGACTCTTCACCAGCAGGCACTCATTGTGTTTGAGCCCTTTATCTACAGTGTCAGCATCCTGCGTTCCCACTACTTAACTGGCCCACGTCTCAACAGTCCCACAACTTGAGCCACGCATTCACACTGCCAAATGTCTTAAACAAAAGTCAGAAGTGTTCTTTGAAGAGTAAAACTTAACCCAAACTTAATTACCTGCACAAAAGAGACCAAGTTCTTAAGCTAAGTCGGCTAAATTTTCAATCTTTTTATCACTGTGGTAAAGATTGAACACACATTTTTTTTTGAGTAGAAACTTCTTGCCTGGTTGTTAAATGAAGCATCTCAAGTTGTAAGCTAGAAATTCTGAATCCTATGTCAGGACTGAGGCAGATAGGCTAAACCCTTTCAAGAAGGAAAAAAAAAAGAAGCAAAAAAACCACAGCAACAAATATGATCTACTGGAGGACTCCCTCCTGGCGAAGCCCCTTGTTCTGCAAAAGCAGCTTTACCAGGGAGACACCTCGAATTGCTCGTCACTACCCTGGCAAAATATTGTTCCACGTCAACCATGCAAAGACACCCAGCAAATTCTGYCCTTACCAGCATGAGGACAATTAATGGAACAATAAAGACATTATCCTTCTCTTGAGGAATTCCTAAGATTCACTTTCTCTGATAAAGAAGTATTAGACTCTGGATTGAACAAAGAGTTGAGAACCAAGAAACAGATTTTTAGGCCGGCTGTGCCTAAACTTTTAAGGTAGGATTTATTTCACCTAATGCTAGCTCCCTGCCAAGTGCAACAACGCACAAACTAGTTTTCTAGGCTCCCATAACAGACAGCAGAGGCTGCTCAATACAGCTGATGGTGCAATGCTTCTGCCCAAGGGGAGAAGCTGCTCAGGCTGAGATGAATCACACCCTGCACTCCCATGCCTGCAACAACCCGCTCTGCACTGCCTATACAAGCCCATCAGCTTCTATAGCTACGTTGAATTAGGTGAATCTGATCTACAAATTTGACTTGAAACAAGTTTTTCTGAGGATACTTTTATATCACTTTTGTAGACTGATATAAACTGAGATACAGCCTGAAGAAAATGAGCCTTTGCTGAAAATATTACATACATCATCCTCTATCCCTGTATTTCAACTTCTTTGACTGTAAAACTGTAGTACTTCAATCTACTTTTAGGTGACCATAATTCATAGAATCAYAGAATCATTAAAGGTGGAAGGGACCTTTAGAGACCATCCAGTCCAACCCRCTGCACATAAATCAACAAGTTGTGAATATTAAAAAATGTTTTTTTCATTAAATTAGAAATACACATAATASATGTACTTGCTTTTTCTAGTTTATCAGGCTTCTGTCAGTGTAAGCTGGTGCAGCTMCCCAGAAATCAATGATGTTTAGCTACATCCATGAACATGCTATTATTCGTGTTAGTCTGAAGGAATAGCAACATTTCTCTTCCCTTTATTCTTTCTCCATAAACAATACATAGGACTGCAGAGTTGCCAATCCACAAAACCTGCATTTAAGCTCCTATATTTCATTGCATCCCTAGGAACTTAAGTSACTTGATTCTCAAAACTGTTAATCATCTAATTGCTGCTATTGTTATGACAAACCAAACCCTTTAATCACCTYTAACATCCCTGAGGGAAATTCTGAGATCGGGCTCCTCCACATATGACGCTGTTTAATTAGCTTCAGTGCTAATTTAGTGATACAAAAAAAAAAATACGGCTCTAGGAGACAAATTAACGGTACAGTTAAAATCTAACCAAGTACAAACATAAGCATCGAACAGAAACTGAATAATTTCATGAACAAATGCACTGGTACTGGTTACTTCCCAAAAGAGTATTTCTTCTACRGTCAAGAATACACAAGGCAAACCAAAACACTAAACCAGCATAACAGCAGAAGAAAAATCTTGGTTCTTTATCTCAGAACAAAAAGGTAAAATAGGTACCTTTTCATGCTTCTTCATAAAGYTGGTCTTCTTAATTTTCCCATGGTGCTGTAAACAATAAAAGACAAAATCAAATGTGATACACAAAATATTTTGTTCATTCTTTAGTGATGACAGGATCAAAGAAAAACATCAAAGAATTGTGCATTATATGTCTTACAAGAGCATACTATTTTGGCTCTGCTTTCTTATACCTCCATTATTTCTGCTAAGAGTTTTCAACTGGAAAAAACAGTTTGCAGGAATCCAGAAAAAGAAAACAAAAGCCACAGTCATTACCTTAAGAAAGAATCTCTTGTCTGTCCTAACAGGATTGTAGGAGGCAAGGTAAGCAGCTATCAGAAGGAATTTGGAGTAGTAGGGAAGTTCCACGTGTGCATGTGCAGAAAGTCCTACAAAATAAAACACTTTATGAGTCCTGAAACGCACTCTAGTTCAAAATTAGACTTCCCTGAATTCCATTTTCCCTAGTCTATATGCGTTTTTCCTGATGTATTCCTGTAAATCAGATACTTACTATAATCCTGTTACGACGGCAATATAATCAGTTCAGGGGCAAGGAATGATGATACGTAGCTGCGACTCTTCAATCAAAATAAAATTAGTGCTCTAAATCCCTCCTGGCCTTTTCTCAGAAGCTRTATTTAATCATCAGAGATTAATAAATCACTAAGCTGTCATTTCCCTATGCAATATTTGCAGCATTTTCATTTAAGGTGATTTGGATGGCAAACAGAGCTATATTTAAATACCACTGCAAAGCTCTCCTCCAAGACCTGACCTGAAGGCTGCTCTGGCCTCTGCCAGACACAGCTCAGCACAGGAACCACGGAGCAGGAGGAAGAGCCGCCGCCGCTTTGGGATCTCTGGGATTTTGGGGGATTTCTGCAGTTCAGGATCTCATCGTTCTTAAAGACTCGTAATTCCTACAGAAGTRCTTTCAAAATGTTAATCTACATTCAGGCAATTTAATCTGCTATATGTATAGTCCATAATTATTAAATTGTCATATTTTACAAGCATATAAGAAATACAGATTACTGAGTGTCTTCCTTCTCTTTTCACTTTGACTTCTTAGTTTTTCCTTTTACATTTTACCCACTCTGATCACTGTAGCTGCTTCTTTTGCCCAACTTATGCACAAGCTTAAGATGATCAAGCCACCTTATTTCATCAGTTGTGTTACGAGGGAGAACCCCAAAAGGTCTCTTCTGTGACAAGCTTCCACCTGAATTATTTTTTGTTCTGTGAAGCAGCAGCACTTTCATGCTTTAATTCACAAACACCAGCAAACACAGATCAAGACGTTAAACATTTTAAAGTTAAAACTAGGCTCAGAGGCTTTAGTGTGACAAGAAGCATCCTAGATGACAGTTACTGATAAACCCCTTTCAGATAGTCACAAAAGAACCTGCAGTTTGGGCTTTCATTTACATTTACAATCAGGAGGATGTTTGGTACTGCATGTTAATTACAAATTGCAATACCAAATTAAAGAGACAAAATGCAATACCAAACTAAAGAGACTCCTGGATGGATAATTCATCTTAACACAGAAATGCCTGTGGCTTTTCCTCCTTTTTTTGCGATCTGCCAATATTAGCATTATGCACAGAACAAGTGGCTTAATTACAATGAGTACAATTTATTACAACGGCTTTTTAAGCACAACATCGTTACWAAATGGTAACAACATTTTTTTCCTACTGCATATAGTAAAAACCAAGAAAACTTATTTTGAGTAAAAATCTCTCTTTTGGTAGCTATTAGCTGCAAAAGTATTTCATGGTTATCTGGGTAAGAAGGGAGAGAGAATTTAACAAGAACACTTCGAATCAAACTCCTTTGGTCAACAGTGAAGAAGAAATACTAATTACAAAGCAAATATAGGATGCACACTCCAATGACTGCAATTATCTTAAGGGACAGCTTTTAAAAAGGTGCCTATTTAATCTATCTAATGAAGAAGTTGTTTATCATGGTAGATAATATGGAAAAAGTGGCCCCCAAATTAAAACCTGATTAACACCTAAGCTATGATTCAGTAATCCTTCCTACGGTGTAAATGAATGCTAAGAGAGACAGTCCTCTGCAGAACATAAAACCCTCAAAGCTGCTCTGCTTTCAGGAAGGCACAGAAAGAGAATTCTTGCAATTTGGCCAATTCCTTCTCCAAGGAGCAAGGAGACACGTCCCACGTTTAGGAATGTCCAAGTCAGGATAACGCATCSGTGGGGCAGGGTGACCAGAGAGCTGCGCTGCACAGCAAGGACCTGGGGGTGCTGGCTGCGCACGAGGCAGCAGCGAGCCCAGGTGGGCAGGAAGGCCCAGGGCCTCCTGGCTGTGTGAGGAGCAGCGTGGCCAGCAGGAGCAGGGACGTGATGGTCCCCCTGCCCGCGGCGCTGGGGAGGCCGCTCCTCCAACACTGAGCTCAGGTTTGGGCCCCCGGCTCTAAGGAGGATGTGGAGGGGCTGGAGCGTGTCCAGAGAAGGCAGCGGAGCTGGGGAAGGGCCTGGAGCTCCGGCCTCACGAGGAGGCCGGGGGAGCTGGTGATYTRGTCTGGAGAAGAGGAGGCTCYGGGGAGACCTCATCGATCTCTACAGCTGGAGTGAAAGGAGGCTGGAATGAGGTCGGTCTCTTYTCCAGAATAACTACAGACAGGACAAGAGGAAATGGCCTCAAATTGCTCTAAGGGAGGATCAGGCTAGATAGGAGGAAGAATTTCTACACGGGAAGAGCGGTGAAACACTGGAATGGGCTGTCCAGGGAAGTGGTGGAGTCACCATCGCTAACAGTGCTCAAGAAATGTGTGGATGAGGAGCCTAGGGACAGGTTTCAGCAGGGATGGGGGTAATGGGCTTATGGTTGGACTCAGATCTTAAAGGTCTTTTCTAACCATAATGATKCTATGACCAGGTTTATTGCTGCCTTCTCCACATTCAGGCAACTCTAAGACATTCCTTACTCTTGAGAATATTATATACACACTTGGGCATTCTCACATGAGAACACTGATTTTATGGAAAGCTGATTTTGCCCACATTGGGCTGTARGAGACAGCTCCCAGGAAACATGCTAAAGGAAAAGGCAGTCGTGTCCTTTGGAGAACGTTGTCTCAAAAAATCTAATTTCCCTAGACAGAAATTCAATGCTAACAGACTGTCTAGTTCATATAGATTTCWTTCACATATTACCAGATTACAGCAAGCAAATCAATCTGGAAAGTACATATTTTATGTTACAAGTCCATGCAGAGTTTGCTCTAGCTGATACCTTTCACTTGCCCAGGATCTCTATCATCATGCTGTAAACGTTCCCACTGCGAGCTGAAAGACAGATAAAAGTAAACATTTATGTGATGTGTATCCTGTATTCCTAGATAAAACTACTTTTTAGTGAGAACTATCCAGTTAGTATTCATTTTAACTTCATAGTACAGTGCACAGTGCACAAAATAATAATTAAAAATATTAAGTCCTGCTATATTGTGCATAGTCTACAGTTTCTCRACACTTAAGCATATTTGAGGAAAATACAGAAAATATTTTTATYTGTATATCTTAATATAATGTTGAGTATAATATTGAATATTTGAGCAAGTTATCACACAGCATTCTTTCCCATCGAATCCTCACCAGTGAGCRAGTACCGAGTCTTTCAAGTTGCAAGAACAATGCAGAATTAGATTAAAAAACACCGATAGCTTCAATTCTTTTTTACTGGCCTAATAACTGTACTTATCCTACAATGTTATAATTATGTCATAATGAAATTTTGAAATCTAGGTAAAAACCAAAATGTTTACTCTTCACTGTACGTCTCTGGAGACATGAAAATAAGTGTTTTGTCAGCTGAAACAAATAAGTGCAAATAGTTTGGTGCTGCCCTAAAGAGTCAGAAAAAGAGCATTTTACAGCTTCTAACAACATAGTTAGAAATGTCATGATTTTATTTCACCTATTCAGATAGCACTCAGGGCTGCAGAAGGAAGAAGCCAACTTTTCTGTTAAAGCACCACTCATTTATGGAGATCTTCACACACAGCATCTTAACTAAATCTTTCTGACTTACTTTTCATGTATTATATTTTTATCAGACTGACCCATAAGATTAATGAGAACTGACACAGACCTAATGATTGAGCAACYAACTTATCAATGAACACAGTTTTTATCCAACATCTTTCTTAAAAGTAGAAATTTCATTTTTATCTGTTTCAGCAGCAGAAGGGCTGGTAAAGTTCTCTTGTCGCATTCTATAACTGAAGAAAACCCCAGAGTAATTATAGTTATGTGGCCAGAAAAATTGATASAGTTGCTTTAATTCCTCAAGTATTTAAAGTCCAAGATCAAATTCTAGATTTTTTTATGCAGAAAACTCAAATTTATAATAAAAGAAAACATYAAAGAGGGAAACTAGTTATTTTGAAACAACTCATAAGTTGTTTTGTAACGTACTGTATATAACACCCTCATTAGAGGAGGCAATTACAGAATATAAAAAGWCAAGAAGATCCTGTGTAAACTGTGGAATGATGATCAATACTTACTGTAAATAYGTGTTTAAAGCAAACAGAAAGACATCTCATTATAGAGTGAAGGCTAACTCACCGGGAGGGAAATCAATTGTCTTTTTGAAAGGGTAATCCCTTTTCCAAGGRATTCAGCAAAGGCTTTTACTACACTTCCAGCTGCAGCCTAAATCATGTCCAAAGGGAAGAAATCATCATGCTTCTATCAAGATAGAGAAACTGAGTACTAATGGACTGCCTCTACTTACATGCTGTAACATCAGACTCACAGATCTTAAAAATGGAAAAGAAATTAAGCCCGAGTCCATTATTGTCATAAAAAAGGTCTTTTTTCTAACACTCTGGCAAGATAAAATTAAATAAACTAAGACTATACTAATAAGAAACTGATCCATTAGGAATTCAGAAGCAAACAGCTTTGCATGTTTTCACCATGTATTTTGATGCTGCATTCCCACACTTAATTCCACACACGACAAGGCTGATCTGTCTGCATGACCTTTTCTGAAGACAACCTTCTTTTGCTGATTTACTTATTAAATAACTTTTAGAAAGCAATGTTTGTTTAAAGAGCTAAAAATATTCTGTCTTGCTATAAAGAAACACTCCCCATGAAACTTATTTGAGATTTGGGGAGGAATCCTGCTAAAGTTTTAAATAAATAAATAAATAAATAAATAAATAAATAAAAGATGGGGAGAGGAGGATTACCTGGATATTTCCCGGAGATAAACAGTCTGCATTGCCTTCTTCAAATGGGGTTCAATATTTTTCCAGAGTTTGCGGGTGTCACGTTCGTTTGCTGCACCAAGTCAGAATCAATTCTGTTAAATGCTTCATTTATGGAACACTAAATCTCTATCCTCAACACCACAACACACAGAGGCAAGAAATACTCAGCTCAACACCCTGACTCCGAAATGCCGTATTCCAGCGATGTACCAGCACCACCACCCATTTGCAGGCAACACCATCATGGAAGGATTCTCTGCCTTTATTTTATTTGTAGAAATTTTAGCAAAATCTCCTCTTAGTCTAAACAGAAAAATACCTTGGTTTGCTAATTCCCAGAGGCATCGTTATTGGAATGATGAGAAAGTTTTTACAAGGAAGAAACAAATTTCTTGGTATTTCCTTCTCATTTCTATAAAATAATATCAACAAAGGTATTGATTGGCACTGGGGCAAATGCTGCCTGCTGGGTGCAAGTGGCAAAGCTCTCCTGTTGTGGCCACAGGGATGAGACCAACACGGACCTGGGCTGCTGCCCAACATCGCCCTTACACTCCAGGTAAGGACAATTACTCACCACTCAAATTAAGGACAATTATTTACCACTCAAACTAAGGACAATTACCCACCTTCTCCTCTGACCACGGGCTCGCAGTATTTAGAAAAATTCAGCGCAGCCTACAGGAATTAAAGGAACAAGATATTAAGAAGGTGCTATGCCTTCAATCTAGCTACAGAAAATGACATACAGCACAAGTCTTCCTTTGGTAAAAGCAATGAATTATTTCTCAGTAAGTAATTATATTGCTTTGCTTCCAAACATTACACTGTCAAACAGCACATCATTTCTGTGGATGCAAATCAAACAGTAGCCGTCTATCATTAGACTGCTTGGCTTTGGTCTCAGGAGAATTTGTATGCTGTACTCAAAGGTTGCCTTTTTTTTTTTTTAATTAGCATAATAATTAAACATCATAAATGGAATAAATATTTTCAGCATTTTTTCTTTTTTACTTCCTTCATCCATGTTCAAACCACACTTTTCAATCCAGAAGCTGGGCAGTGTGTTCAAAGATAATTACCAACACAAACAGAAATAATAATAATTAAAAGAAAACTACTAACGAATTCCATATTCAAACAATCTCCTGTTGTCTCAGACAAAGCTGGGATTTTTGGTGAGGTTATAAATCTAAGTCAGACTTCTTTTTTCCTCCAAAAATGAATAAACCAACAGGGCAAATAATATATAAAAGTATAAAACAACAATCCTCACAGTTTACTCTCCTTTTGTCCAGCGTAATTACGCCTTATAATCCTCCATGCTATTACACAGCACTTAAAGCAGTAATTTCCAGATACAAATGTTACTATAATGTATTTTGAAATTATATTATCATGCACAATAACATAAGTATTTGGAGTCTATAGTAGGCAACACAAGAGTAGAGTTTACAGGTACTCGTATTTGCCTATCATTACCTTATAGAGTACAGATTTCTCATAAATAAAAATAATTTAGATCCAATTTTATTAATACTTTCCTATTTTGGTATTTCTCAAACATACCAACACTCTGCCTAAAGCTGATGGAATTTTTTTGATAAGCAGAGCAATTCAAGTTCATGCCTGCAAGGACTGTGTCCCTACTTAGTATTTCTCATCAGATTTGAGCAATCCCACTTGTTAACTTGTGCAGTTAACAGCTAAGTTAAGCTGAAGTTTAGGTACAAGTGGCTGTTTTTACTTCTTTTTCTGCTGGGAATGCAGCCAGGCCATTGAGACTGTCTCACTGGTACTAATTTGTTCTAATGCTCTAACTTTCTTCTCCTCCTTCGATCTATCTGCTGTCGTGAAGGAGACGGCCCCGGCAGCACCGCTACCTTCGTCGGAGCCTTCGACCACAAAGACCTCGTGTAAAACACTAAGATGTACAAATTAACAGAAATAGGTAAAATGTCCTTGGGTAAATGGAAAGCAGAAATATTGCTAATATAAACAGTATCATGCTATTTTGTGATGGTCAACCCAAAGATAACTCTTGCATATTTCCCAATGCACAGGACTTAAAAGTAACCTGAATATTATAAAAACGATCCTAAGAGTCAGTCTTTTATACTGAACACTATACACCCTACTTTTTGAGTCAGTCTTTCATATGTAAGTTCTAACACTCGCTGTGAATTACTTCCATGGTTTATGTTGTTTGTGATAAGAACTAAAAGTCAAACTTAAGTTCAACACTGGTTACTCACAAACACTATAATTTCTCCCATTTAAGCAGAGCTCAATATAAATATTTCCAAGAAAAAGAAAAATGTGAAATGCAATAGTATTCTGCAATTCTGTGCTGTAGCTATCAAGACGGCAAGAGGTAGTCTCATCATTTTCGTAGTTTCAAAAGTTAATTAGACCTACAGGGGTCTGATTACAACATTTATAGAAAGGGAAAGAGCTAAAGGTGCTATAAACAAAACAGAGATGCATATAGATAGTGCTTAAAAAACAATGATGTTGACACATAACTGAAATAAACATTCATTTAACAGAAAATCCTCATCTAACAGAACAGTCATCCTGTGCGCCTTCCTTCCACACTTACCTTGGATTTGGTGAAGAAACTATATCAACAAAAATAAAACTTTTCATATTTAGAATATTAATTTATCATTTCTTTAGCTTAGTGGACTAGCCATAAGCGACTGATCGCTTCAAATTTTCTACAATTACTGCAAGTTCTCTCATCTATCAGTAGAATATCAGCAGGCATTAAGCTTTTTAAGCTTTTATCAAGCATACCTCCTTATCCTAATCAGTGAAAATACAGAGCCTGGTGCTCAGTTCAAGACACTGGAGAAGATCAGAAAATCCCCAGGAGAAGGTCCAGGCTGGGTGGCCAAATGTGACGGGTCGGTGGCCAAATGTGACAGGACAGCGTGTGCTGCATCCACCAGGAACAGCGCACTCAGCACCCCAGAACAACTGCACCCTTCAGTGCGGGACCTTGGATTCRTAGGGACACTGGACGTTGATCCAACACACACATGGCTCTTTGTTTATACCCAACATCAAATCTACGTTCTTCAGAGTTTTGCATTCAGAAAAAGAAAACACAAAAATCGAAAAGCCTCAAGGAACTCTTCTCACCAGATGCTGAAGTTCTTTGAGGTCCCTGCAGACCATGTAGAAGACACCAAGCAGAATATTGATGTAGGCAGCATAGAAATCTGCAGAATATTCTGGAGGGTGATTGTTAGACAGGATCTTCTGCAGGTGCCCTGTTTAGATACAATTAATTTTTGCTTATTTACAGTTAACCTAATAAAGTGACCAAATTCTACAAGTTAAATGAAAAATAAAAACAAACAAAAAAACCCCTATAATCCTCACTGAAAACAAACCAGTCCCCCAAATCCTTTAAAAGGCACCAACAAATACAATTGAACCAAATCATTTCTTTAGGATATTATGGCAATTGGAAAGTTTGTGAGAACACAAAGTTACATTCCAAGAGCTACTATAGATATCCCGTTCTGTAAAAGGTACAGTGGTTAATAAGAGAAAGCATCTGAATTGTGTTTAATAGAGTCTAAACATTATTCAACCCCCTGAAAGGTTAAAAAAGTTGGATTTACCTATGCTGTAATCTGGAAAATATAAGGTCAAGGGCTCAAAACATCCAGTACTGGGGCGGAACAGTTCCCATACTATTTCAGTGAGCAAGATAACTGTCACATTCCTGTCAGTCTACAAGGAGGGAAAAAAAACAGGGAAGGGGAAGAGAGAAAGCGTGACCTTACAACGGTAAAATAATCATGAGTATTTTTTTTTTTAAAGAAAAGCCCATAAAATTTAGAGTTTAATACAAATTATTAGCACAGTAATAAGGCTTCAGCTGGCCTAATCAAGCTCATACACTTACAATTTCTACAATTATCTGAAATTTCCCTGCATCTCTTGCCATTTTGTTGTCATTTTAGCTATTTGGGACGATAAAGCTCTGCGATTAGACAACACCAAGCAGCTTCCAGCTTTGCACCCAAAATTGAGAATGTTTTGCTTTGGTAGCCCTGATTGTTTGCTTTGTAAACCCAGGTTTACAGCAGAGCTCTCAGGAGGAGTTAAAATGGCAAAGAAAAATGAGTATGTTCTGAAACGCCACTAACTCCGATTTTATTTTACAGGCCAGTTGTGTTTAAAAATAAAAACAAAACAAACAAACAAACCCACAGACACAATATTGTGTAGTTTTACCAACTGTTTTGCTATCTGCTGACACATAGCAGCATATTCATTTTTAAGAAGTTATTAACAAGAACATACTGGCTCAGAGTATGTTGTTCCATATGTTCCATATGGAAAAGAATCCATTCAATAGACGAGCATTAAAATAAAAAGATGTGTTCAAATGTTCTTTAAGAAAGAAATTTCAGAACAATTTAAGTAACTCATACGATAAAAAAAAAAAAAGTACTAACCCAATAGAACTAGTTTTCAAAATACTGAAGTATTACAAAGTTTTAAAATTCAAGGCAAAAATAAAAAGTGTAACACGAACTCCAAAGAATAATTTGAAGAGGAAAAAAAAGTGTTACTTTTCTTTTTAACTCCAGCAAATCTGTAAAAATAGATAGCCATGAATTTACACGAGGTAACTGTGCCACTTAGAAAGGAGATAAATTTTCTTCTCAGTGAGTGGGAACAGCTGATTTTAGAAAACAGCCCTTCTTCTCTTGCTCCATATCACACAGCTCCAACATAGGTTCCTAGGAGTTCCGAGAATACTGAAGTCTATAGTTTAAATTCCTAGACAGAACGTGTCAGAAATGGTGCCCTTAATGCATTTACTGATTGATGTATAATAATATTTCTAACATGAGGTGTGAATCAACAGAAAAAAAAGAAGTTATTTCTCTTCTCTTTTTGTGAAATTTGGGAAAAAAATCTTGTACCTAGTTTAGTCACTTCTCAGAATAACACCACCCATATTCTTTACTGTTTCATTTACTCTGTTTTTATCCAATTTCTTTTTGTCAGAAGAATTTTTTTCCTGGAGACTTTTTTTGATTGTGCTCCTACCCCAAGCTTCCTAAAACTTTAGCTGAGAAGATGACCAAGTTCAACTCCTGATATTTCTTCCAGTAGGAACAAACCAACTACCTCCTACCACAGTCCTCACAGAAGTCAAGTGTCTTATGACCCGTTTTCATAGATGAACCCCCCACTCCCATGAAATCTGCTACCAGTAATGAAATTTTCTCTTCTGAGCAGTAGTGACGTTTCTACATCCTCTATTTCTAAGCAACTTCACTTGCAGGACAGTTTAAAACACTTCAGAATCCACATCTTATCTACCTGGGCTCTCAGCAGTTTAGAAAGTCAATTAACTTATTTAGAAGGGAATTTAGAACTTCAGGGTGCTTTAGGATATGTAATTCTTAGGCTATGCTTTTTTGGTCCCTGAACAGCAATCCCAATTCCAAGCTTTCTGCCTTTGGTCTCTGTCAGGTAGGTTGTTGCTGGTTTGGGTCTACCAACCTCCAGAACAGGGGCAGAACAGCTAAAAAGGACCAGAAATTGCATCATTTGACAGGATTTAAAACACGGCTGTGAATCAGCCTCCATTCAGCAAATGGTGAAATCACTGAAACCAATGCAGAGGTCAACATGACCAGAAATCTAAGAGAATATCCTTCAGAAATCTTGAGATAATATCAGGTAATAAATGTAATAGTAATATACACTGTTTAGTTACTTAAATATTTTAAAGTATCACCATCTCCTGGTTTTACTTTCAATTCACTTTCAAAGAATGCACTGTTGATTTCTTCCCCTGAGCATACAGAGGAAAGCATAGATGACACTCAAAATGAGGAGGGAACACAGTGCTTTACTCCAGGCAGAAAGGCACTATTTTGCAATCACAATATAAGTGCAAAAACTGCCTGCCATCATGCAGCACATTCTCAGCTTTTGAGCTGCAGGTCCAGCAGCAACCAAAGAGCTGGTGATGCACTGGGGGCCAGGAAGGCCATCACACAGATAGCTGAAGTTTCACATAGGAGCAACTGGAGGAAAACAGATGTCTCCCGAATTGCAAATTCATGCTACTGCTGCTGAACTCACTGAATTTGGATTGAGCTCCCTGAATCAGCAGCTGACTCAGAAATGGACTATAGACACCCACACAAACATCTGACAGACTCTGAAAAGGCTTCTCTCTCTCTCTCTTTTTTTGATGTCAAGCCAAGAGGAGCCCTGTTGGAGCTCCTCATTATAGATTATAGTCCTCCTGAGACTTATCTTTGAGGACTTCAGGCAATGATTATAAAATTTTAATGAAGAGCAGAAGAATTTCATATCCCTCTTAAAATCAAAAATATTCTATAAAATACAGCTATGCATCTGAAACATCCACAAATGAATAAAAGGAGAGCAGATATTGTAAAACAAGATTATCATTAAATGGAGTGTTTAAATTTGAGAGAGTATTACAATCATCTGCCAGTGTTCAAATTCTACTTTGTTTTCTAGTTTGGACCACTGTCCTGAAAGTTGGTTCTATAGGGAAAAACAAAAAGACACTCCACAACTTTTTTTTCCTTTAAAGAACTACTTTTCGTTATCTGTATGCCTAGCTGGGCAGATGTACTATGTTATTTTACCTCCAATGTGTAGAAAATACACATTTTCAGATACTTACCAATTCTTGAAGCCTAAGAAAGGCTGGCAGGATGTTTGCTTCCATTTCCCTTAGCTGCTCTGCTCTATCCAGTACCTTATAGCAAAAAAATAGAAAAATTAAAAAAAAAAACAAAAAATCTCGTTATACAGACAATGTTAATCTGCATCCTTATGTGCACTTCAACTTTGAGCTGCTAGAACAGTAAGAGAACTTTGAGAGTTCCCTTTTTCCACAGTGAAATTATGTTTCAGAAATAAGAGCTGCCACTTAATATTTTCCATTTCCCAGCTGTTATCTGGAATTCATAAAGTTGAAATTTGTTTTAGGAGAAGGTTTTCTTGCCACAGAGTGCAGAACTCTATAGCCTACAAAAATTAGAAAAAAATACTAATGTTTATCCTTCCAGTAAAAATAATCTTATTCTCAGAAGACTAAAAATCTTTGGAAAAAAAGGTAATAAAAAACATAATTCTTTTTATGTTTTATTTACTCCAATATAAAATGAAGTTTTGAAATGCATTATTTTGTATTATTGCTGTTGAAAGGGATGCTACAGATGCCTAGGAAATTATATTTTGGAACTCCTCCCCACAGTGCAGTATTAAGACATCTATCATTTCTGTTGCCCCTGTTCAGAAAAAGAACATTATACGGACAGATAACAAATATTTTATAAAAAGAGAACTTCAAAATTGTACAGAAAGAAATGTAATGCAACAATATGCTTGTAATCAGAGCTCCTATGTCTTGGGATTTCCTGTAGTACCAGTGTTTGGTTCATATGATAACTGATTTCATAAATGAAAACAGCTTTAATTTACTGATCTGCTATAATCAAAATTAATGACAAATAAGGTTTTCATATTTTGTTAATACTGGTATTAGACTCAGTAATACTCAATTACTGAACATAACATTCCTGACTTAAGATCTTGTTTCTCAGTTAAGTGGGCAACACGAGCACATGCTCTTTTGTGGACTATTGCCAGCACTTGGCAGAAACAGCCTACTCAACAGCCTAAAAACACACCCCTGCCTCATTCTTCAGATTTACTACAGATTTGCCATGTTTTAATTGTTACAAAAATCTCTACATTCCACAAATGAGCTGCTAGGTGACATTAAAAACAGCATGTTTATACTTGGGCAAAGTGCTCAGAAGTCCAAACATAAGAAAGAATCCAAGCTGCCCCTGCTCCAGATTTTCACATAGCTAAAAATTCTTCACAGGTAATCAGAAGCTTTCAGGACCCAGGCTTGGTTTAAGAGAACATTTAGAATCCTTTGCTTGAGAGTAAACATTTATCTTGATTTACACTGAATTAATTGGGCTGAAATATTACATTATTTGATATCAAAATGAAATAGAATAAATTAACTTTGTCAGTTTATGTTACTAGCATGCAGCTTGTCCATCAGTCTCGATTTAAATCACTGTTATAAATGCAGATGACACAGATTAAGAAATATAAATTGATTTCCCCTGTTCACGTCTGTTCCCATGCAGAAAAAAAGTGAAATATTAATTAAATACTTTGTTCTTCTGATTTGGCAACTATTTACTTAATACAATTGAATATTTCAAGGTACTTCATGCTTTACTTTTGGAGTTAGTGCTCAAGAGCTTTCTAGTTTTATGAATGAAGGTATTTTTACTGTAATATGCAGTATGCAATTAGATCTTTTGATCTAATGCATTTATTTTTAATTCAGATATTAATCTGAATGTAAAACTTTATTAAATAAAGGATTTTGTGAAATTCCCTACTACTTAATATAAGGATAAACATCATTCTTGTGGTATTGTTGAAGGATAACAGTATCATTTTCATGATCATAAATTAAAACGCATCATCTATGAAAAAATTCTTATGTGCTGTATCATTTTTCCTCATTTCACTATTAAAGAGTAAATCAGATTTATTAACTTTCTAAACTACAAAAAAAGATTACTACTGTTGCCATTAAATATAATATGAAGTTACTTTATTTGATATTTTAAAATAACATAAAATATGAATAAAAAGAATATAAATATGAATAAAATATGAACAAAAAACAATACAAAAGTTATACGAAACTATAACCAGTGAAACAGAACAAAGAATTTTCAAAATAATTCTGAACTTCTTGTTTGTCTATAAAAAAGGAAAGCAATATGCTCAATTTCTGTGATACAGAAAGTGAATATCAGCATCATCAAGCCTTCCATCTTGAATCACTTTCAATTCTAGCCAAAAAAGAAGAAAGGAAAAAAAAAAGAAAAAAAAGAAAACCAATCTGGCCTCTTTTAACAAATCCTTAATTCTGAATGGATTATTCACTCCACATATTTTGTTGGTTCAATTTCAGATATGTCACTGCTACATATATCATTGCATATCACTGTTACTATGGAGGTCAAGTTTTAGAGAAATAAGAGCAGATCTTATTCAATCAAGTGACAGAGAAAAAAAACATAAAGGAAGTTTTGAAGAGTCATCTTTTCAAATATCTTATGTGTTTGAAATATGTTTCTACCTTTATCTGCTGGTACAACAAAAGCTGTTACTATTCCTTGCAAATTTTGACTCTCTGATGTATTATAACAGAAGCAAAATTATTACCTCAGTACTATACTGATTCAATCAGATCAATTTTTGTCAACAGATCAATTTTTGTCATTGCTCTCCTTTCTTCCTCTCTCAGCTCAAAAATCTCAATTCTTGTTGCTGAGGCTACAAGTGTAGATGAAGACATAAGACTTGRGCAGGACGGGAAATGATGCATTTAACTTCCTCGATACGACTTCCAACTTGCACCTATTCTACTCAACCTCTTCTTGTCACCTGTCTGCTACATGCTTCASTTTCTCCCTTCTTTCCCTTTCTCTTTTATTTGATTTTTCTTTGCAAAGAAGTAGCAGAGCATGACTTGCTACCTACTTATCAAAAAAAATTGAGGCTTCTCTAGGTTTAAAAAATTTCTAATACTATCACTGATATGTATACAGTGTCATTTATGGCAGTTGTTAGTTATGGTAGTTATCTGGCATTTGCAGATAAGTTATATAAACAGAAAGAACACAGAACTACATCTAAACCCAGTAAACCAACTGAAAGGATCTAATTAACATCAACTGGTTCTGAATAAAGCCCAAGGAGATATTTTATGAAAACTGATAGATTATGCATAATTTCACATATAAATTATTGATAATAATTACTCACCCTCTCTTAAGCGCAATGAAACTGGAACACAAAAAATAAATTACTTACAATGTATAATGTTTGATCCTGGAGATCTTGACTAGTAACAGCTTGTTTAAAGAGCCGCACAAAGTCATTGAAAGTGTCACAAAGCACACGAGATGCTGGTGTTGTCTCAGAAGAAGAGCAGTTCTGCAGCTGGATGAGAATTTCCTCCAAAAGAAGTCTTGAAGTAAAGTGTTCTACACAGTTCACAAACACATGAGGAAGCTGAAGAGGATAAGAAAAAGATACAACCTAATTTGGCTCTTTCAGTATATATATATATATATATATATATTTATATATATTTCGAAATCAAAAGCTCAGCTTTCACTTCCAGAAAACACACTGGAAGAAAACCACATCCCACCAGCAGAATCTAAATTGAATTTCTGCCAAAAGGACTGATTACTTATGTATCTAGTCAAAATATTACATAACACAAACCTCAAAAGAATAGATCTGACAAAATCTAATATGAAACATGAAGTGTATCTTTTGATTACATCTGAAGATTTGAGAGCAATACAAAGAAAGAAAACACAAGAATGTTTTGATCAAAGTAAACCTAGACAATCACAACATATCGAAGTTTCCTAATACAATCCACTACAAATTACAGTACCTGTATAACAAGGACTTCTCAAGCTTCCACTAGTAAATAATCTAGCACTGCAACTAAAACCCTAARTTCTTTGCTCTATAAACAGAAAACACCAGGGACAACAAAAGAGTACCAGGATCCAAACCTCCATGCAGGAGGGAAAAAAAAAAGTTAATTTTCCACCAATTATATTTTAAAAATAGTTTATTTGACTAAGCCCATTAAGTAGGGGACATCTGTACTTGACTGGCAATAACAAGCTCTGAAGAAAAAAGTGCTGCTTAAATCCTGTTCCTTTCTGGGGCTCGAATGCCCGTTTTGATGTTTTATAACTGGGTGGCACAAAGCTACAAACATAAGACTGGTGCATGAAAAGCAACATGACCATCATCCCACCTTTCTCCTCCTATGGAATTTTTAATGGAAGGGACAAGATGCACCATGTTTTCCATAAAACTCTGTCCCACAAACATACAATAAGCCCCCCAAAAAACCTAAAGCATCGGGGCTATCAGAACACAGCAGTGGAAATCTGCGAGTTCAGATGGGAATGCAGAGGTTTATGCATGAGGCAGGCACCCATGRTTGGATTTAGGTCCCTAAAGTACTTTGATATCAAAAGCACAGGCACTGATGGGTTTGGATGGAAGTTTTTATGATGACACTCTTCAACTCTGGAGGAATTTAGACCCTGCTTCATGAAATTATATTAAAATAGAGGGTAAAACTAGTAACAAGATAGGCACTTATTAACTGGAAAAAAAAAAAAAAGGCCACAAAAGAGGCAAGAATTTAGGACTCCAAAGTCCTCTGTTGGCACGGAAATGAACATAAGGCTGGACCTCTCTACATCTTCTGTGAYTGCCTACATGGCATAAGTTGATTTAAAAACAAAATGATTTTACATAGAAATAACAGAAAGAATCCCTGATGTACATACAGATTTGCATTTGTACTCTACTTATCTTAAAGAAAAAAAATGCTGATTGCCATTAGTTAATATTCTCACTGTCTGGTACCATGCAACTATAACACTATCTATAAATGTTTATTCAAGCCATTCAATAGCTCAAAAACACACAAAATAATCTATTTTTATCTCATTAAAAACATCATTGTCTCCTTTTTTTCAAAGAAGTTAACATCAAGCTGTGCTTAAGGATGCAGAATTAAAACATACAGAATTCTTATTGCCAAAAAGGTTCTGAAAATATAGTACAGAAAGGCTTTATCCGTATTTTGCTATTGAGAACTTAYTGAGTAAAATAAATATCATGTATTGTTTGGGAAATAAATCAGCTGTTTCTAGGCAACATTATTTCAAGATTTTCAAGAGTTCCTGATTTTCTTCTTTCTTCAAAGCAAGAAAGATTCCCATCTACTTTCTAGCCAAATACAGACACAAGCAGGATCAGTAAGAGACACAGTGGCCTCTGGTATTCAGCTAGTGATTTTCACCATTGCACAAACTCAACTTCCTTTAAATTCGAGCAAACATGTCAAATTGTATGTTTGTTTAYTTTTAATGTTTATACTAGAGTGCATGATTTTAAATTATTTAAATAAATCATACACATCTAATGTAATATAATTCAGCTTRTTAACACAGAATAAATATAAATAAAATTCCACTACTGCAAAGTCATCTTACTGTTACTCTCCTCTTCCCTCCTAGCTTCTCCTCACTTGGCTACTACCATTCATTAGGCTAAGAATAGATTAGTGGGTTGAACGTCTTTTAATCTGCAGAGAACATTGCAAAATGAGTTCCCTGAACAACACTGGCACTTCTAGATATCACAAGAATTACATGTACAAAACTTATATGGGTTTTTTTTATATAGAAATAAAGTAAGCTTAAAGGAGAATTGAGAGATTCAAAAATTACATTAAAAAATCATATTAGAATTATCAGTAGTCACTTGTCACAGAAGGCTCTTTTAAGTTCACTCCTTTTCAGAGAGCAGAATCAGAGCTGGCAGCTTTTCAGCTTTTTTTTTATTATTTCTTTGAATTCTGTTGCGTATTATCTCATATCACTCTAAGTGTACCAATGAGAATACAGTTTGATGTGTCCATCAGACAGCAAATGGAACAGATTTTAAATCGAAACGGGAGAAATGAAGGGGAAACAAACAAATCATTTTTTCAAAGASGAATCCAGTTTAGGGGTTATATTTTATTACCTACTGCTTCCAAATACATGTTAATTCACTACCCAGTGTGAACATTCTTACCTGTAATGTGTTTAGAAGCGTTTGCATCACGTACGTCTTTCCACTAGATGTATGTCCATAGATAAAAATGGATGGAAAAGTAAACTGTTGACGCTACAAAAATAATAAAAAATAGCCATTTTACTACTACTCCTTTTTCTTAATTACTTAACAGATAAAGGATTTGCCAATAAAGTTTTCCTCTAAAAGCAACATTATCTTTTAAAGTTAGGCATTAAGTATCAAGTGTCAATTAAGGCACAACATAAAACCTACCACATTGATTCCATAATTGTCCAAATACTTGGAGAGCATCTCCAGAGATTCAAGCATTGCATAAAGCTACTAGTGAAACTTCTACAAGAGGAGGAATTTTTTTTCATGTTTAGGAAAAAAAAAAAAAAAAAAAAGAAGTGTGTGAGAAAAAGAACAACTGTGCTTTTAATTCAAAATAATTACCTGAAACAATAGCTTGTCCTAGCAAGGACAAGCTTGTTGCTTTAAATCACCCTAACTTCTACAAATGCTACAAACTGCTTTCCTTTCCAGTAGCATCAAGTAAAATATAATCAAATGACTTGGTGGAAAGAGAAGGAAAAYAGTTTGCTCTGTGCCAGAAAGGCATTTATATAAAACCTCCATCTGTTAATGGTACTGATGCTGTATATTTTATGCCAATTTTATAACAAGAGGAGCTYAAAATAATGACCTCATAAAAACTTCTCAGTTTCTATTGCTTTTCTAAAACAGTATCTGTGTTCTACTAAAATACAGAATATAGAAAGCACTACCTCTCCAAATATTGAGAGCAACATAGACGCTTGGGATTCACGGCAAGGCACCAGGTTTTCCAAGCRGAGCAGCGTAGCTGCTGGATATGCTGGATGTTCCAGGCTGGGCATTTTGACTGATGCTCCTCTGGTCAGTCACGTGCGACACTTCTGAGGTGCAGGGACAAATAAAACCAACCAAAATGATCTGGAAAACAAAATGTTTTAATTACCATTTACTGTCATATACATAAAGGAAGAAAGCAAACAAGAACCGATGAATAATCTAACCTGACATTCTAGCTGAAGGTGATGATAAAATTATGCTGGATTTAGAGGCTTCAGCAATATAGACCTTACAAAKAATTATATTGACATTTTCATACCAGTGAAAATTAGGAAGTTTGGGTTGCTCAGTGAAGTATGTCAGCAGACAGGTGCATCTGCAAGTTATCAAGCTGTATTTAAACACCTGTTTTTACAACCAAATGTGGCTGAATACCACATGAGAAATGATCACTTAAGCAAAAGGAGAGGAGAGATAGTAGGAAAAACATGGAACTTCGTGAAGAAGCGAGCAGTACTGGGTTGCACTGATAAAAGGAGCTCCTGAACAAGGAAGCTCATAAATCAACCCTTGAGAACTTTTCTGGGCCAACTCTGTATTAAATATTTCCAGTGATATATTTGGTAAAAGCCCTTTTTTCTTCTGTTTTTACACTTCACTTCAAGTGTTTTCTCAAGTCAAAATTGGGGTTGTGTAATCATGAATACGAAAACAAGTGGAATTCATAAGAAGAAAATGGGTAACCTTGAAAATACAACAGCAATTCCAATTTTACATTTTTGTAATCCTATGCATCACATCGAGCAGAACACGCCCTACAGCTAGATACTGAGAACTAACAAGTGTGAAGCAACCTGAAAACCAGAGAAGGCAGATATTAAGGATAAGAAATTGAAGAGATTCAGCTATCAGAAAGAAAAATGCATGAACAAATGTATCAAGAGAAGCACTCCCTGCACAGACAGAGAGGCACTGGGTCATTTCATGAGAGCAGCGGAGTCAGCTGGGAAGAGACCAAACCACCAGGCCTATTCGAAGAGTAGTTCAAACAGGAGGTAGAAATCTTAGTATTTGGTGAAGGCGGCTCCCTGTAAAAGAATCAGGGATAACACAGAGGCAAAGAAAACTTATAGCTATAACCCCCCAAAGTGGTCGGCCAGTGAGGGGGGCGCTTCGGGAGCGGCTGGAAGGGCTGCGTGGATAGGGGATAAGGGGTCTCTGGTCTCGCTCGCTGCCCTTTCCAGAGCGCGACCCTGTTCCCTAACATCACCCTCGGGCCCCTCGGCCTGGGCTTGTCCCGGGCCGACCACCCTCCCCATCACCAAACGCACCGGAGACGCCCCCTCGCCAGGCGGAGGGGTAGCCCCGGACCGGACAGAAGCGGACAGGGCTGGACCCCATCGAACCGAACCGAACCGGACCGGACCGGACCGGACCGGACCGGCTCCGCTCCCTCCCCCGCTCCCCCTGAGCGCGGCTGCCCCCGGCTCCCCGCACCCACCCACACCGTGCACGCTCCGGCTCCCGCGCCGGCTGCCGCGCATGCGCACGACGCGTGCGCCGCCCCGCCTTCCCCGGCAGTGCGCAGGAGCTGGCCGCGCGCGCATGCGCCGTAGAGGAGCCGAAGCCGGTGCCCGGAGCATCTGAGGCCAGGGTGAGGGAAAGGGCGGGAAAGGTTGGAGGGCGCTGAGGGAAGCGTGGGTTGCGCGCGTGTCGTGTCGTGTCCCGACGCTGGGAATAGGCGGCTTTGTATAGTCATGTGTTTATACGTAAATATATGCTAAGCAAAATTAATAAAAAAATATAAAATAATAAATATTAATAAACATGCACATATATATGGACATACGTGATCAAAATAGCTTGGTCTGTGAGTTTCACACCTATAGATGAATGCTGTTATGGACTAAACCCATTCAGAATCGAAAGAGGGAAAGAAAAGCAGAAAAAAAATACTGACTCATTTTTATCTAGACTAATTTATGTTCAATTCTTGTTTTAAAACTGGTGTATTATTTATCACAGTTTTCCAAAAGCATAATCTGAAGTGATTTTCAGTGTTACTGTGTTTGCATATCTGCAGGCAGAATCTATAGTAATTCTGTCCACTTGCTAAAATACGCGCTTGTTAAAAATTGTTAATTTGGAATTATTTAGAGCACAGTATCCAGCCCTATGTTTCCCAATAAAGTGAAATAATTTTTTTTTGAACTCTTGAAACTGTGGAATGTGTGAGGACAGATTGATCTGTGTACAGATCTGTCAGGTTTCAGAAAAACAAATGCAATGTCCCACAAAACAAACAAAACAAATGAAAAATATCTGAGAAAGTCTACATTTAGGTAGTCTATGCAGGTGTTAAAATGAAGTATTTAGGATTGAGTTTTAATGATGTCCAATATTTGCATCCTCCTCTAAGGAAATACTGATCAAATCTGCAATCTGGCTTTGAATTCAACATAAATCCTAATGTGAGGGTTCAAACTTTAAACAGGTAATTGGCAGGGGAGAGTCTTGCTCTCCCTCGTCCACCCCATTTCCACTGTTTTTTCAGCCCTCGCATTTGGGTGGTTATGTAGCAAGCCTAGGGAACCAGTCCAGCTGAAAATGAATCAAAATGAAAAAAAAAATATTATTTTAAAAGTACAATCTCACTTTAAAAAAAAAAAAAAAAACTGCTTAGTACAGAATGAAGCCACCAGTGGTGTTTCATTTAGCTTCCAGTTCTGGAGATCAGAATAACCGGTGATAATGATGATTAACCCAAATTTCCATGATGAGATGAAAGAAAAATGGATCTGTATAACATCAATAATTTAAAATGATAAGGACTATCTATATTGACTAAAATTATTATAAGACTATACTGCTATTTCTTTGTGTGACTGATCTGAAAAAAATACAGATTCCCGAGCTCTTACTGTTGCAAGAGGAAGCCTGTTACAGAAAACAGCAGATCTTGTGGCAAATTTCTCATGCCTACTAGTGTAGGTAGATTCATGCAGGAAGTTTCTTCTTCTTGGTAAAACTGTTTAAATTTAGCAAGAATGATTTTTCTTTTTCATTCTGAAGGTAAGAACTCTTAGCTAGCAGCTACTAGATCAGATTCATGTCTCAACATCTTTCTGGTAATGAGAAGCATAATAATTTTGTTTCAGCATAAAATTTTCCTCAGCAACATATCTCATTGATGTTGCCAGTGAATATGCATTTCTGCACGGTTTTAAATGCTTCTTAATTTATACTAAGCTGTCAGATATCTTTTTATCTTCTTATTCTGACTATGGGTTGCTTACATATAAAATCTATTCAAAATGAGGAAGAAAGAGTAAACAGATTTTAATATTGCATGAAATAGAGCAGAAGAGAACCTTTCCTCATTGTGATCATTATCAGATACTAGGCATTAATCATTTGTCTGTCAAAACAATTTTTTTCAGTTTAAGTAATAAATAATTTTCACTTAAGAGTTCTTACGCATGGCTCCACTTCAGCAAAAGTAATTGTTTAGAATATTAATATTAATTTCCTTCAGAGCAGTGGGATTCCTCATTTCTAGCATTCCTCATTCCTTGAAGTTATAAAAAGGTGCTTGAGTGAGCTGCAGGATTAAGTGCTACGTGCATGCAGAAGTACCTATTTGAACTAAATATAGAACTGTGTGTATAGCGCATATACATATTCTGTGTAGGTTGCAATACATGCAATATATTCCTGTCTCATCTTTTCCTGCCTATCTTCCAGGCCCTGCGTCTCCGTGCGAGAGGAGGACGGCGACAAGGCGCTGCTCGCGCACCCGTGCTGAGCAGTACAATTAGGAGCTGACGATTTGGTCCACACTTTTTCATTAAGTTTGCTAAAGATAGACAAAGACGAATATATAACAATCTAATTGTTAGTGATTATAATCACCGACAGTGGATTTTCAAGCAATTAGTAGTAATTAAGCTTTCATTTATAGCTCATTAATATGAAAAACAGTAATTCTACAGATGAAATACCTCCATAGTACGTAATGGAGAGGATTTTGCAGGCAGAAAAACATAGACTGTCTAGAGTTTCAGATTTCCAAAAGTGATTTGATAAATATATCATAACCAAATACAGCTACAGTTTCAGCTGGCTGCTCAGACAGAAATCTGTTCCATAATGCCATAACATTTAGATTTTAAGCCCTGAGGGGAACAAGCTGTAAGATGTGAAGGAGAGAAAAGGGATGTCTTTCAGCAAACCATCAATAAATAAAGTCTGGAGATATTTTAATTTTTAATTACATTACATCATTTTTGCATATGAAACTGGTGAGTTTTTGTACCTCTTGTTTTACTGTTGTTAAATCAAGAGTGCCAAGGGAGATGGCTGCTACCACACATACATAACATAAAATTGTATTTATCATCTCGTACTGAGGTTCAGAAAGTTCTACTGAAGTGATACCACTTCTAGTGGAAGTCAGTTCTACCTGAAAGTTCTTTTAATTCTTGCAAATAATGTGAGTTATTTCCTGTTGGAATCAAATGGAAAATAAAATGGTTTATGTGCCCTTTTTTCTTGTGCCTAGAGGAGCCTAGATAGGATCAGGATACCTGCTTTTTCCACAGAGCAGTAGTAGAGTTAGAGGGAAAACACTGAAAACAGTGAGTCATCTCGAGCTGAAAAGGCCTTTGCTCTTCTGTTTCTGCACTTCTCGTGTTACTTGGCTAACTGGATGTACTGTAGTTCATATATGGGAATGTTATATGTGTCTCTTTTGTAACTCATAGAGATAGAAGTCACTCCCAGGTGTCTTTTGCCAGAGTTTTCATTCCAGACCTTCAAAAGATTAGGCACACTTTTGCACATTAAGGAGCCATAAATTAAAGGGATTTTCCATTTCATGCCATTATTTGCAATGTCTTACTTTTTTTTTGCTGCTCAAAATAGCACAGTATGCAACTACCCAGGGAAAATCACTGCGCCAGGGTTTGTACTAGAGCATTTAGCAACGTGCCCATTATTGATGGGATGAGGGAGAGGCAAACATACACTGCTCAGCTGTCATAATTAGGCAACCCAATATCTATATAGAAGTTTGCTGAGAATAAACAGTCATCAGGAGGGCAGTCCTACTGTCAGCCCTATTGAGTGCAA